CTTTACTTTTTGTTCCCTTTTTCTTAAATGAAGAAACATTTATAATTTGACCTCTGCTTGGGTGCCCTCCCAAGCCATTAAACCTTTAAAATGTATTTCTACATCCTAATACAGGATGTTGCTTTATTTCTGTTGCTTTATTATTCTCAGAGTTGTTTACCCTACAATTTTGATGCACCTTCTTCTCAATGTCAGCTCAATAGTACTTCCAGACTCGCCATAATGGACATCTCTACATTACATCTCTACAGCAACAGGTCGCTAACCAGCTTATCAGTTCGCTTCTGGGGGAATGACCTAACAACCACAGGTTGAGGTACAGTTGTTTTTCTTCCATATTGGTTCTTTAACGCAGCTAACTCTAGTCAGAACACTTCCAATTCCTATGGGAACAACTCAGAAAAGATTATTAACATATTATGGTTGAAAACGACTGCACAATGGTGATTCAGTTCTTCAGTCCATCTCCAGCCTTTGAAACAGGGGAGCGGGAATCACAAGCTGAGCTCTCAGACTGAGGGGTGGGTGGACAGCCTGTTGTGAAGCAGGGGTGAGGGGTAAGCTGTAATTTATCCAACACAACTGAGTTCCACTGAAAGACTATGACGCCGTCTGTCTGGAATGTAGGCGAAGTGCTGGATAGAAGCTAAGAGTCAGATTTCACTGGAGCCAACATATGTAATGTTCCCACCAGGCCACTCCCTCATCATGCACTCACACCTATCCAGCGCCAGGGAACCATTGCTGCCGTTAAAATGAAGAAGTGCCCTACAAAGAATATTTGATACAAGGAATCATAAAAACTACTCAATCCTATCATGAGATGTGTTCTTTTCAGGAAGTGAAAACTCAGTCCAGCAGTCCGCAACCTGGAGGGAATCGTCTCTGTTAGACATGCTGGGAGGGGAGCAGGCTGAACCCTACACCCTTAAGTCCCTATGAAAACATTAAACAATGTGTTCCATACTGGACATCAGTGTAGATATGATTTCTGTGTAATGTTTTGTGTGGCCTTTTGAGTTTGTTGTGCTCTTTATGCTCTCTGTCACCATTTGCCAATATGTATCCTCTGAATGATGATTCTGATGTAGAGCAGACTCATGATTTGTCCAAATATGAGGGGAGTTAATGTTGCTGTTACTGAAAAAACTCTTGTTTTAGAGTTGGTACAGAAACTCGGGTGTAGTATTCATACAAATATTGGAGATTTTGTTTGACAAATCTTTTCCTATAGAAACCCTGATAATGTGAGTTTTTCCAAACAATACTGGCTGCAAACCTTGACTGCAGTCATTCCTACGCAAATGTTGTGACTAGGTGATGTCTTTGCATTCTCTTGTCTCTATACTCAGGCTGTGAACAAATGTACGCCAGCCACCACAAAGCTGAGTGAAGCAGGTTGCAGTGGACTTAATGTCTCTTAATTTTCAGTCCTTTCATTCAGGCTGCTGCAGGTCCCGCTGTTTTCAGCGCGATCAGCAGTTACACTCATAGTCGTTATCTATGAGTGTTATCAAGCTCCCAGGTTCAGCTCTAAAATAGGTCATTGGACAACATAGCATCATTTTGTGATACATCTTTATTACAAAAGGTCTTGTCTTGGGTCTACAAAATGTTGTCAAATCTTATAAATAATATAACATTTCAAATGGTTTGATTGAATGAAGTAGTTCACTGTTTAAAGAACTGTCAGAAATGCTCCTTTAACCTCTGAGCCCCATTTACTCTTCAGTAAACCTTTTTCAAGAGCATCAGCACACTTACAAGAACTTACAGAATAGCAGCATTGCTAGAGATCCAATCTTTAGAGAATGTGTTCAGATACCAAGAGAACTTGGTACCAAGAGAACTTGGTTTCTGAACACAAGAACAAGCCAATGCTAAATCAGCAAATCTTTTGTTATTACAGTTCCCACGTGAACTGATCATATTTGAACATTTCAGAGCCAAACTCCACCCAGTGCATAATTTTGAAAAATGCTAAAAAAAAATGGATCGCTCACTCTTACACTACAGACTTTTCTCCACCAGCATCCCCCTGAAGTGGGCATTAGTGTTGTGGAGGACGGCTTCACTTATGCCTGAAGCTGGAGCTCTCTGGGCCGAGGCAATGCAAGTGCATGAGAGGATGGCGGCAGAGTGGTGTAACGTAACTTTAGTTAGAAGTCTAATGTTAGCTGTTGTAAAGCTATAAAATGACTATGAATATTTTTGTAGCTATTCCAAAAAAAGGCCATTTTCCAAGGTGTCCCTAAGAGCATTTGTGTTGTAGGGAGGTGCCATGGGTAATACAATTGGGGAATAAGACTAGACCACAGTTTGTCTATAAACGCCATTTCCTCAGACTGAAAATTAACCTAACCACATAAAGGGCGTTAACTTTAATATATATTTCATTATACCCAAACACTTGACGCTATGTCAGCATAGTCTGTTTAAAATACTGGCTGGTGTTATGAGTTATGTTCAACCCATGAAATGCTGAATTTGTATAACCTTGGTAAGAAATGTGATTTTGAAACCACCATTAATGTGTTTCATCACAGTAATATCATTTAGTTTACAGTTGAAGCACAGATGTGAGTGTGCAGTATCTCTTTGAAAAAGCCAGTGTTAAGAATCCACAACCTAAACCTCAGCAGAACCATTATGTTGAGTGTTTGCTTGTTTGTCTTTGAGTCAGAAACGGAGAGGTCCCTACATAATTGTAGTTGATGATGCAACAATGTGTATTCAGAGTGTGCTCTCAAAATAAAGACTATAATCCAAGATAAATAAGATATGGAATTAGAAGACAGCGATTGTGTTATAAGACGTGAAGCTGTCAGGTGAAGCTAAACCAGAAGATGTACAATATGAGATTTAGGCCTGTTTTACACAGTTAATATTAAGACAAGTAAGAGAAATATAACAGTATATAATATATCAATGTCCACTTTTAATTTGTCCTTTAGTAATTCCCATCTAAATTAACTCAATATATTTATACTAAAGCAATTCATTAAACTAAGGGTAGGCCTGAATATCACTTTATAGTAAATATAATCAGGCTCCTTATAATACTGTGAGCTAAGAAGGAAAGGCTGTTGAACAAAGACAGTTTATCAGCATGTCCCTGCTCTCTGAATATGTCAAATGTAATAAAGCAAGAAAAAATATATAGTCTGTTCAAGGTGCTTTTTATATATGATTCAAAATTCATATATATTATTTCTTCTTATGATGTTGATTAAAAACACACTTAATAAGTCATATCATATCATTCATATATATATGCAAATTCAACAATAAGCTCTATTTATTTACTTAGTAGGTTAGTAAATGAACATCCTAACAGATTTATACACTAAAGTAAATCCACCAGATACTGAGGTTAAGCGTGGGCTTATTGTGCTCGGTGTGGGGGGAGCGCTCACCTGAGGTGTCCCACAGCCGGAGCTCCACTCGCTGCATGTCCAGGTCGAAGCTGGCCGAGTAGTTTTCAAACACCGTGGGCACGTAGCACTGCGGAGGACAGAGACGGACAGAGAGCCGGAGTCAGGGGACAGCTCGTCATCAGAGGGACACGGGCGGGGACTCATCTTACCTCAGGGAAACTGTCTTTGGCGAACACGTTCAACAGCGCGCTTTTCCCGCACTGACTGTCCCCCACAACCACGAGTTTACACTGGACGGTGGAGTCCGAGTCCATCCTGGCCACAGAGAGAGAAGACAAGTCCCGCTTATGTCCGAGGAAAGAAGTCCGTCCACTGTGAGACTTGCAGTGGGTGGTGTTTGTCTCTCTGCTCCGGGACACTCGCGATCCTCCTGTTTCCAACTGCGGAGGGCGGGGCTCCACCGTGGGAATCCCGTCAGGGGTTAGAAGCCTGTGACGGGAATTCTCTCACTTTGCAGGGAAGGACCTTTTTAGGGCCCCAAGCACAACTTCAATCCTCAACTCCATAACAAGGAAACGGATAGATGAAGATCAAGAGACATGCGATGATTCGATCCATGTGGATTACAGGCAGACCACAATGAACGTCACAGCTAAAGCAGCTAATGGGTTTCTTAAGGTCAGTAGTGACTGTACACGTCATGGCAGGGACATTGCTGTGGTTTCATGTGGGGACATTCCCAACCCCTTCCTCCACAGTGGACAGGCTGCAGCAACAGCCCATAATTCTGCACAGATGGCTGTCAACTGCACCATAGTTTGAGGATGTCTGCAGGATCCCTCACAACAGCTTTCCATCAGCTACAATAAGGGGCATTGCAGCACAGTGGGTAGGCAAAGTAGGCTATTGCCTGGAGCCACGAGCTGAGAGGGTAGGGGAGAATACCTCATTACTTCAGTCCAAAGCACTTACACTTTTGGTTGTATGTAGTCCCTTGAAACACTGTCGGTTCCTGTGCTCTGCTGGAGGGTTGACCAGTATTCTCTCATGATGATCCCACATGGCTGATCTGATGTGCAGTTGGTTGAATGGAGGACCGAAACTGCCAAATGCTGAAATAAATACTTCAACACATGAATAAAGCAACATACAGTTTGGTATTTAAGTAGTCTATTTGTGTATATTTACATTTATTTCTACATTTTGTATTTATTGCTAGAGGTATTCATTTCAACATTTACTTATTTCAGTAGGAGTAGTTTAATTGGTTAACTCTGTCGAAAGTTGGATTGGTCACAGCTGCGGTTGAGGGTGTTGTCATTCAAGATGTGATACGGGGTCACCATTTCTCCTATTGGTTGCTCTACATCAGAGTGAACAGATCAACTCCTTTCTCATCAAATTGATCGACAAATCTACAAGCTAAAAAACTTTCCACAAGTTCTGCAGGCAGGAGATGAGAAAGGTGCTTCACTGTCCCTGAATTGTTATGGTACACAGAACAACATACACACACATACACGCACTCGCACACACGTACACACACACACACACACACACACACACACACACACACACGTGGGGAGCAAGCAGTAATGATAACAATATGATGATAATTTCACTGCAATGGAAAGCAAATAAAGTGCTTTATTAACCAACTCTTAAACAATGTTTAATGTTTAATCCTTGTCTATATATATATGCTTATATATATATATATATATATATATATAGACATAGATATGTAAATACACGTAGAAATACATAAAGAGCCTTTTACCTCACCAAATAAATATATATTTTATCTTACTTCTGTAGAAATACTTATGTATTTATTTATGTATGTGTCATAGAGTCATTTACCTATTATTCATTTTTTATTTTGGCTCAATAGGTCTGGACAGGACTAAACATTTTCTTACTCATTGCTTTATTATCTTTTAAGATCTGTTTTCTGATCCTGTTCCCCTATCTACAAGTCAAATAACTTAGGTGGTGAGATTTCATTTTTCTGGTGGGCGTAGCTTGCTGGTATGGAGAGCCTGCTGCTACTGTATGTGCAGGGGTATCATACTGGGTCTGAAGGTTAATAAGCTCTTGGACTAAGTGAAATAAAGACAAGAGAGAGTCATACATCAAAGAAAAACAAGCACATGTACAACGTCAGAGGGCAAACGAAAATCATGATGGTTTTAGTTTGAGTCCTCCACTGCAGCGCTTCATGCAGTGGGCCAGTCAAACAACTGCGAAGACACTGGGAAAATGAATGAAAACGGACACATGATGTGAGGGCACCAAGCCAGTGATTCACTTCATGTTGTCACAGTACATCTCCATCACTTCTGATTTCCCTCTAATCATGGACTCTTTTGTCACAATCACAACTTGTGTTGTTTACAGCATACATACTTGTCTTATTTAAGTTTGTATGAATACAGACATTTAATCTGAAGTTTATATTTTCAGTTTGTTTTCAGTACAACGAAGATATGATTTCTACGTTTCTAAACTGATAATTAGATTATTGATTGTTAAATTAGTTATTTAAAGTAACACCAGCATGAGATAGAACGTTTTATTTTATCATCCATGACTTTGATTGTTCAGCAAAAATAGCTGATTATAGACATCTCATGAACAGAGTGTTTTAATTTGGTTTGTTAATAAAGGTTTAGCTTCTCTTTCAGTTGTTCAATGTCTGCTCTCCCAGTGAAAGAGCAGAGTAAGTGGGAGCCAGTTTTACAGATTGTGAAGAATTGCATCCTCACATATAGTTTTGGTGATAAAATCAGTGGATCTTAAAGATAAGCTCCAAGTTCTGGGTTGTCGTTATCAAGGGATAATTGATAATTGACTGATTGCGCTGAGAAATAGGTCTAAGGAAGACCCAGAGACTCTTTACAGAAGTTCAGTCCTGTGTTTTTATCTCTGGTGTTTTACATTTGTCAAGCAGAATCAAATCCAGTGGCACAATTTGTCTTCTGATGAAAATTCATTCTAGTTTCCTTTGATCTGGCTCATCATAATTTGGTATTGGAGATGTGCTGCCTATAGCTACAAACAGAAGAAAGAACACTATCAAGAGACAGATTTATATCCTTAACATTAATCTTGTCAGAATTCTATTGACCCTGTCATAATTCCTACAAATGGTATCCATCAGAAAATGTTCTGACTAGAGTTGACACTCTTAGGTCATAAGCTACTAATCTGTTGCCTGTCTAGCACCAAAATGTGAAATGACAAAATAGTTAATACCTATTGCTGGGTGTACCAGCAGCAGGGCCGACAATCTTTTGATTGAAATAACCCACTTGTATTTTGGGTTTGTTCCATAATTCACTCTATCAATTGGGGTGGAAAAGCTTCATGTTGAATGGTTTGGCATAATTGAAAGTGAAGGTAAAGGAAAGTGAAGAGAGAGAGAGAGAGAGAGAGAGAGAGAGAGAGCACTCAGTGGACAGCTGATCTGATTTCTTGTTAAGAGCCACAAAGCAGATATGGCTTCCAAACGCCATGTTAGAGTACTGAGAAAAGAGCAGTGAGAGGGGCCCTGAGGGGACAACCAGCCCGTCCACCCCCACTGCTCCTTTATACTGAATTGCTCTGTGTTGTGGTTGTTGTTGCTTAGACTCATCCCTGCTAGTTATATATATATATACTGTATAATATATATACGGTCATGAACAGTTAAAGAGTTCGTATTGACTGAATTGCTTAGAGGACATCGTCCTAATGGAACTCAGGGCCTCTAAAATGACGTGCAAACACTGAGAGCAGGAAATCTGGGTCAACTAACAATACAGAATATCTCCCACTAAGCCACTGTAGAATAAGAACATCAACCAGTTCCCATGATGCATGCACCTTTTGATGGGTTTCCAACATTATGTTGTTACAGTGACACTGCATTGATAATGAATAGGCTGTATTTATGAGGTAATTTTGAATAGACAGTTAGGGTGTGGTGGAAAGATAAATTGTTTTGTTAGTCCAGTACAGTTCTGTGGTCTCCAGTGTTGTCACTGTGGGTAGAGAGCATGGCCAAACATGTCTGTGTTCAAACTCTAACCAGATGCTCCACCACCACAAAAATACAGAAAGAGTTACCAAGGTCCTCTCTGACGTTATGAAAGTGGGGCAGGGTCTGTGGCCCTCATTTACTCTGTGTCTAAAAATGGGCCAAGTTAATCCATGTGTAAATGCAGTTTAATTAGCTTTTATTCAGAATATTTTTGAAATTATATATATGCTATGGTAAGAATGATGATGTTACCTCACTTGCTTTGTAGCACAAACATTTACGCACATAAAGAAAAGAAAACTTCCTCAAATCTTAATTGCAACATTTTCATTTATTAAGCTAAATTCATATAATGGTAAGGTATTAATGAATGTTACACCAAAGGTCGATGATGGTTCAAGTGCTCCTCTGGTGCACCCACAATCCATACTGAGACTAAACCACAGATGGTCCCCTCTGATCAGCGTTGGTAGGAGGGACATGTCAGATCCAACCTGGGAAGCCCCCACATATTAGAAACATGTTGATGATATGATGATGATGATGATAATTAAAAGAATTGGATGATAACCTTTGTAATACTTAGTTTCTATGGTGGTAAAGGGTGTGTACATTCTCACATCATACTGTATTATGATAATGTATAGCCTACACTGCAGTGTAATCATTAGGCCTGATTTTTACATTGATAATATTAGCTTTTTCTCCACCCATTGAAACATGATCCCCATCATATCCAGCTCATTTTTTCATTACCTTAGCTGAGGTTATGTTTTCACTGTCTATTTGCAAGCACAATTATGAAAATTATGAAAAACTACTGAATGGATTTCCTTGAAACTTAGTGCAATAAAAAAATCTATCACATTTAGGGAACTGATATATGTTTGAGGATGTGAAATTTGGTGCAGCTTGTTTGAATTTAAGAGGACTGATGGACTTTAGTATGTGCTCTACTGCCAGTCTAGGAATGTAGCCACAGCTTTGTTTAGTCAAGGGGGAAAAACTGTGAGGTATCGCCATCTAGAGTGTGTGTAGAGGATTGCATTGGAGAGGAAGAGGCACTCGTTCTCGAAACAAATAAAGAGCAGCATATTACAAGAAACGTGGGGTTCGCACCCTGTCACAAGTAGCAAGGAAATACAATCTTTGAAGCTTCATTGAACTCCACTGACTCAGAATAGGACACAGCAACCTGAATGGGACACTCCACGTCACAGGGAAACATCCAACAGGCCTTTGTGGACACTGTCAGAACATGTACTAGTGAATTGTAGGACATATAGACCTCAAAAGAATGAAAATGACAGGACTAGCACTATAAAAGCATAACGTGCACACTGAAGTGTGATGAGAATCAGAATCAGAATTCTTTTTATTTGCCAGGTATGTTTGCACATACAGGAAATTGCCTTGGTGTCATTGGTGCACTACTTATGTACATAAAACAACAATATAAAAAACAAC